TAAGTACAAGATTTAGTAGCAATAGATCTAGAACAACCACACTACTGTAACAAACGTGAGACCACTTAACTCCTACAAAACCCACACTAACACGGCTAATATACTTCACGAGCCGACCCGCGGCGTATCATACGCCACTATTTAGTTGTTTTATTTTCTACTTTTCAGTAATTCATAATTTGTGAATTCGACAGTACCAATGCTGCCACTGAAAATATTTGCTTTAAAACACTAACCCCCCCCCTTTCCCCCAACCCCTACCCTACACCCCCCGTGAAAGCAGCCTCCTCTTGGTTACCTCCTGTAAGTTTAAAATCGTTTCAAACTAAATTATCTGCCCCTAATAGCCGTCACTAAACCCGCCTCTACGATTTGTAAACATTTAGAGTGAACCACAGCTCACCAGATCATGTGGGGGTGGAGTGGGGGTGGTAGTGATAGTGATAGAGAGGAAGAGAGGGGACTGCAAATGCGCGCTTGCAGCTTGTTTTCTAACGTCTCCCAGAAGAGAATTATATATATAGATGGGTAATAACAACTGCTGTTCTTAGATCTCAGCCAATCTGGGTGGTTTGTTATATACCAGCACACATTTGTAGTGTGCTCTCACACACCAGCACACACGTGTAGTGTGCTCTCACACACCAGCACACACGTGTAGTGTGCTCTCACACACCAGCACACACGTGTAGTGTGCTCTCACACACCAGCATACACGTGTAGTGTGCTCTCACACACCAGCACACACGTGTAGTGTGCTCTCACACACCAGCACACACGTGTAGTGTGCTCTCACACACCAGCACACACGTGTAGTGTGCTCTCACACACCAGCACACACGTGTAGTGGGCTCTCACACACCAGCACACACGTGTAGTGTGCTCTCACACTAAATAATTTTCCGTTGTGTTCAATAAATATTTTACTTAATTCTGATTATCAGTTTTCTTATTTCTATGTTGTTAATGGGGGGGGGGGGGGGGGAATCGTGAGAATTTGGAAACATTACATTCAGCAGATAGTAAAAAAAAAAATTGATTTTATTTATCAAGTTTTCATATTAGTAAAAAAAAAACGAAATGAATTTTTCAAAATCTTTAATTTGCATTTTCTTTCAAGTTTCTCTATTGTGAATATGTTACCTCCCTTAGAAAAAAAAATCTTGATGATGTCACATTACACCCAAAACATATTTGACGTTACAATGGTACAGACAGTCTTGCATTTTCCGTGACGCTACAGTGAGTTGTCCGTCTAGAGTCTAGACTCTATATCCTCAAGTTCAGAAAAAACTCAACGATAGCCTAACATTTGTATTTTAAAGTGTATGTCAGGGGCTACGCAAAAAACAACAACAAAAAAAAAAAAAAACAACAAACAAACACAGACTCTTGACACCCCATGATGAAGTCCACATGGATTGGCGTCCGCCCCCCCCCCCCTCCTAACTGATAGATTGGCATTTACTGCTTTAGACGAAGCTTTCAGCAAATCTGTTGTCCCAAGCTTTTAGGGCGTATAAGATTTACTTCCCTTCGACTACATTTAGTTAACGATAACTGAATGGGGTTTTAGAGTATGTACGTGTTCTGTCGAATAGCTTTGGTCTGCGGGCCGCTACCGGCCCACGACCCTAAATGGATTCTTGTTAATTAAATGAAAATGTGTGTGTACAAAAGACACGCTGAAATAAACACTGTCCGTCTATTCAGAATAGGTAATTCGCTGTAAACAATTGTGCCCATAGTATCCCGATATTTTACGGGCATTTACAGGTAAAATCTTCACTATTAAGTTTTCGGTGGACTTTAACCTTTTGAACATTTGAAGGTGTGTTTGCAAAACCTCGTCTTAAAGATCCAGAAAAACTATTGTAAAGTCATGGACTTTGTGCATACTCTGTTGATTACGTACATAATCTAGGAAGTATCGTCATCATCTTCGTCTTCGATCTTATAACTGTAAGGTGATTTCCTCCAGACTTCAACTTCAGCCATTTTTTTTCTCCCAGATTTCTTTACCCAACCAATCCCGGCATTTTGTGAATGTGTAACAAAAGGAAGGGATAGATACTAATAGAGTAATAGTTACAAAAGCGTGACGCCATTTTTGGATGACCCCTATTCAATATTAATAAAATAATTGTGTTAAGCCTAATTTAAGTTTTATGGCCAATAATTTATATAGATGATCATTTTATAACACGTCCGGTTAACTATTAAATTAAATGTTTATCAATTAAATCTGTGAAGTCAACTCAGCTGGTTCGAGTTTTCTAAGGATTATTTAACCCATGTCCACACTTCCCCCAGAAAAATAAATGGGGTCTTGTCTGGATAAGCCTCGCTAAAAAGTTAATCCCCACCACCCAAAAAAATAATTAAAAAAATAATTGAAACTTGTACTTTTTAACCCTAATCCTAACTAAAACCTAGCCCTGATCATGACCTTAATCCTAACCCTTACCATAGAGGGGGATAAGGAGTTGTTTTTACGGCGTGTGTTTAAGTATTAAAATGTCTAGACATCATAAATAGGCCAAGGTTGCGTACAAAAAGTAGCGGGCTTAACTTTCACTTTGCACTTTTTGCATTAGTTGCGGGGCTTATCTGGACAAGATCCAATTAATGTACCAAACAGAGGGACCAGTAACGATACTCAGGTCAAAGTTCATCGTCCCCACAAACCCACGTCCCACCCGCGCTAATGTGTTTTAAAACAGACACTGTCGGCCACGATATGCCAGACCGTTCAATATGGCGTCTCGGCTAATGGGGGAACTCTCTAATGTGGAAGGTATGTTTGGTCTGGGAGAGTTCATTCCCGTTAACGTCTGCCTTGTGACCACGAGAGTAAGTGATTGATGCGAGACTCGTTCAGCTCACACTGGTAGAGGGAAAATTGATAGATCTCGATAGACGAGAAGGTTCTTTGGGGGCTTGGGGGAGCGGGGGGGGGGGGGGGGGTCTGTGGCCAGTGGGGTTTGTAGAGGCTAAATGGGTCAGTGGCTTGTGGTGTCTGTAGCGGGTATATTGGTATGTGGCTAGCAGTATATCTTCCAGACTTTTTTCTCCGAGGGGGGGGGGGGGGGGCATTTGATATTTTCGGGGGGGGGGCGGTTTAAATTTTCCGGGGGAGGGGGGACACTAGTAAAAGTATATGTTTACTATATAAATTCCATCTCGGGGGGGGGGGGGGGGGTGTAAAGCGGCGCCCCCCCCCCCCTAAAGAGATAGCTGGAAGATACTCAGGTGCAATTTAAAACTTCTAAAAAAAAACTCTAAGGAAACACTATAACAAAAATGCCTTATTTTTTTTTTACGGCACAAGTCATTGGTTTCTCTAGTTCTCATTAAGTAGCTTCCCCTGGTCTGAACTCTCTTGACATTAAGAGCAGATATCCGGTTCAGTGACGGGTCTATTTTGGTTCCCGCGCTTCCTTTTGTAGACACTGCTGCAGACGGTAAAAAGTCTCAATTGGGTTACACAACATTTTCTAGATTGTATTAGCTGCTTCACTTTTATTGTAGATTAACAATATGGTTTCTTTCAGATATTTTTTTGTTTTGGGTCGGGGGTTCTTGAAACTTCCAGGGGTGGGAGGCGATAATTGTGAAAAAATATATTTTCTAAATATAACGACTAATTTCATGTTCTGTCTTAAATATATGTTAATTTCATTTTAAGAGAGTTTTTATGTAAATAATTATTCTTCTTCATTCTTAATTCTAGTGTTTGGAAGTGATTCCCTCCAATACAATTAATTATACGTGTCAGCTTGTTATACGCCATATGGGTCGTTGACTCTGATTTCAGCCTGCTTTTCTTTTTGGATTCGCATCCACAGCCTTTGTCCATCCAAGAACAAACCACAAGGCAGCAGATTTTTTTTGGGAGTTGTCTCTCCTAGACAATAAGTGAGCACTTCTAGACAGATATATGAGTCACGTACTTACGCCACTGTATGCCATAGAATAGATTATAGAGCTCTAAAAATCTTGCATAGAGCCTATATTCAGGTCTTTTTTATTCAATGACTGGTTATGTGTGACATTAAAAACATCGTATTTAAATTTAATCGTTTTTTAAAAATGTGTTTTTATAATATCTTAATAAAGCCTAATAGCAAGAATCGCAGGTATTTTTACAAGCTTTTGTTTAACTCACTGCCTCTGTCTGTCTAGATCGAAACGCACAAGCGAAATTAAGGGCACTTCTAACTAATAGATTCGGTTCAAAGTTGGCACGTGGGTTGGAAAACAGTGCAATATGACATTAAATTGACTTAATTGGATGCCTTATTAACTTTTTATGAATTTATTTAAAATTTTAACAAATTAGCAAGCAGTCTTACTCAACTATTCCGCACTATTATAGGCTTATTATAAAAGCTTGTTATAAAAACGTCTTTTATGAATTTTTTTTTTCCAAAGAGCTTCAGATTACCCACAGTTAAGGGAAACAACTCCCATAAAACTTGCGGTGGCCCCATTGTATAATTGTAAAATTATCATTACATCTGAACTACACGTTGATATAATAATTGAACTAAGGGGTGTGTTCATTTGTACAACACTTTTAATACATCGCTTGTATCAGAAATAAAATAAAACAAAGAAATTAAGAAAATACAAAGAAGTAAAGCATTTTTGACGGTGAAAAAAAATTCCATCGTAGTAAATGAAAAATTCTTTCAATAGACTTAAAGCCAGGGGTGGACTGGCTCACCGGTCTACCGGAAAAATCTCGTTGGGCCCCCAGGTAAGAAATCTCGGTGCCCCCCCCCCCTCCAATAAGAAATCTTGGTGGACCCCAGGTAAAAAAAATCTCTAGAAATCTCGGTGGGCCCCCTGATAAGAAATCTCGGTGAGCCCCCAGATAAGAAATCTCGGTGAGCCCCCAGATAAGAAATCTCGGTGCCCCCACCCCCTCCGATAAAAAATCTCGGTGGGCCCCCAGAAACGGGGCTGTACTAAACCTATTACTACTTTTTATTTAAAAAAAAAAACAATTGTCACGTGAAATTCACCAAGCTGAAGTTGATCATCAGATTTTGTTGGGGAAAAAAATGCACAATGGAACTTTTAATCTTGGTATGGGGCGCATATTAAGATGTTTCCCGGGGGGGGGGGGGGGAAATGGGTCTTGGGCACAGTCCACCCCTGCTTCCACACAATTACATTTTTAATATAACTTAATAACAATATTAATTATATGAAGTCATTATTTTTTCCACACTTGCTATGAGTCCAAGATCAGAAAATGCGTCCCTAGTCGCAAAGCGAAAAAACTTCTCCATGACAAATTTTTTTCTAGAACATTCGTTCTGGTATATCTGGGCTCGTCTTGACGGGCCCCGGGGGGTGAATCAGGCACTTTATGCTGGGCCGTACCACGTGGTCAAAACGACATGGCGTCCTTCATGATGTAGCTGACGAACTTGAAGAGGTCTGACCACGCCTGCTCCACTTCCGGTGTCCAGCGGTCGCCCAGCACTGGCTCTATGGCCCAGATGAACTGTGGCCCAATCAGCTGAAAATACAATCAAATCTTAACATTAATTACGGCTCTCAATCAAAGATAATTAAAATATAACACATTATTAAGGAACAACTGTAATTAAAACAACGCCTTGGAGATGTAGCGATCACGTGCAATTAAAGCCAAAATTAATTCAAATTAAAAAAAAAATAAGCCTTAAAAGAACGCTATTAAACAATGACCCAGAAATTAAACCAATGACATGCAATTAAAACAGATGTCGTTAATTAAAACAAAACAGCAATAATAAAAACGAATTGTTTGCAATGAAATCAAAGGCACGCTATTAAAAAATGACACGTGATCTGTAAATTAAAATTTACATCTGTATTTGTAAATTGTATGCACGTTTGTTATTATATTTAGTATTGTGGATTTCTAACAAACATGATGTCCAAAGTATCGATGGTATCGATGGTATCGATGCTAACCCTAGCCTGATACTAGGTAGAGATGCGCGATACATTGGTAGATTTATATATAAAAAAAAACAAGTTAATAAAAAGTCTAGTGACAATTTAAGCGCAATTTCCTTAATTAATTTTTTAGAATTCACAGACCTACGTAAAAATCCTTTCGAACCTCCGCTCATTCGCTATGGTAAAATCCTTTCGAACCTCATCGCTTTGCGCTAAAAACCTACACGATGCTCAGTTTAAATTAAAAAAATCCTTTCGAACCTCCGCTCATTCGCTATGGTAAAATCCATTCGAACCTCAGCGTTTGCGCTAAAAACCTACACGATGCTCAGTTTAAATGTTCTTAATTAATTTTTTGTGACCAAACGAAAGGATATTTTTGAAAACTTTCTTCGGCAATATTGGTCTAAATTATGGCAGGAATCGATTGGTAAATGTTTCAAGTCGCTAAGTGGTCTGGTTGTCGAGATATGGAGCAAAAACTGCATTTGTTCGAGGTTTTTTGGCTTTTCCGGGAAATCCAGGAAGGAATTCCGGGAATTTTTTTTGCCTATATTCATCCTCGGAACTTGCTTAACATATTTGCTTTGGAACTAGTCCTCGATATTGCTTCGTTGAGGAGGAGATACGACTTAAAGGCTGCGGACACACATCCACACATCCACACATCCATCCATCCAGAAATGACGCATTATTAAACGCAATTGCCAGTATGGAAATTGCGCTAAAAACACAACAAAACAATAAATAATTACCCCTTATATCTACTACATAGACTTTATGACTAACTCCTTGATTCGATTATTTCGTTAAAAACAGGGATATGTAAGGTTTAGGCTGATTATTTACGAACGAGTTTGACAATTCGCCGGAATACATTGGAATTGATAACTAGTACAATACAACTAGTAGATTTCTTAAATATATTTAAAAAGGAAATACTTGAACTGGCTTGAAAAGTGGTTCTTAATCCACAAAATTATCCTAAAATAATATAAAAAATAAATGTCTTTAAAAATTTATCAAATGGTAAAATTATGGTTACTTTTTTGAAAATTAAAGTTGTTTGGAAACCATCGATAACCTTATTTTCATATTTTTTAAAAATTTATTGAGGATACGGCGTTAAAAATAATTTTAGATTTATTTAAACGATTTAATTCTTTTTAAAAAACCGCCCTGCACCAATGGGGCTTGTAAGTCTACGGCCTCGAAATATACTAGCTCAGGGGTCGGCAACCTTTTGAGACGGAAGAGCCAAAAGTTACAATTTTCAAAATTTCCCAGCTTTTAAAGAGCCACTAACATTTTTATTTTAATATTATAATCTTTGATTAGGATTAGGTGTATATATATATATATATATATATATATATATATATATATATATATATATATATATATATATATATATGTATCAATGTGTGTAGTATGTAAGTGTGTGTGTGTGTGTGTCTGCTTGTCTTTTATTCATTACTACACCTTTCATCCGATCGCCATGAAACTTTAGGTTTGAGAATACTCATGGGGGGATATTTGCGAAAATAAAATGTCAAATTCGCAAATAGAATAGCGAGTGTTTATTGTTTATATTTATTAAATCGTTCATTATCATTACTATTTTAAGACTATTACGCTCAACTGTTGTATTACTAATAATGACTTGTATGAATATTCTTTGTCTTAATAAAACTGGAACTCATTTTATACCTATTTGACAAATCTTTATAAAATATTCAATTTTGTTTTTTTCCCGTTTCTTCTTCTTCTCTGTTCTTAATTATACGTAAATCGGAGGATTTAGTCAAGTCCAACTTCGTGGATGAACTGGACTGTGGTATCCAGATTTGCGGACGTCCTATAAGTCAATTTTGTTTAAAAAAAAAAAAAAGCTTTCTGGCAACCACTTTTCAAGCCGATACGCGGGAATCCCCGATTTGTTAAAGAAGTTTAAATGGAAAAAAAAAACACGAGCAAATTAAGTACAACAAAGTCAAATGAAAAAACGTAAGTGTAAATTTTTAAAATCTTAGTTCAATTACAGACCCGTCCCCATGTTTAACGGTTGTAGTGTTATTAACTAATCGGATACAATTTTGCTAACAACATCAAATTAATTGTGTTAAATACTTCTCCGCCGGTGAAATTTCTGTATTGAAAGGGAGATTAAAAAAAAAAGCCGAAATAAACCGATCATATGAGATTTGTCGTTCTTAGTTTAAAAAAAATCTGTTGACACTAATGACTGCCTTAGGGTTATCTGCATTGGAGCGTCATTAAATTTCAATTATTAATTATAACTCCACGTTGATAACCTCCACTCCCATTATTCTAGAACATAATTTGGCATTATTTTTTACAACCCATTGTTAAACTCAACATGTTCTTTTTAATTTACACAAAGCACAGCAAGCCAGTAATGATATTTAGCGTTACGCCTGAGTTTTTTTTTCTGGCAGCTTTTAGTTTATTTAATGCATGTAACTTATACAATTCATTTGTTAGCTTCAAAAGTAAAACATCTCTTTTAATATAATGTAACCAAGGGTCAGTGGCGTAGGCAAGGGGAGGGGGGTGGGGTGGGCGGGTTACAACCCCCCCCATGGGTTACAACTCCCCATAGACCCCTCTGTATATATATATATATATATATATATATATATATATATATATATATATATATATATATATATATATATATATATAATGCTGGAATAAATTTGAACCCCCCCCCACACGAGACAATCCTGGCTACGCTACTCCTAGGGTACTGAATTCAGCCGTTCTATTTGCGTTTTATTAGGGGTACTGACAACTAACATTTGTTTTGTAATTGACAGGAGGGGATGGGGGTAGTTACTCCGAGGTGGGTAGGGATTATGTCCATGAGGGGGTGTAATTGACGGGGGGGGGGGGGGATGGGGAGGGGGGTAACTTCCTGCTCCCATCTATTTCACATACTTAACTTGTTGACATCCACTCGTTCCACTACTTTATTATTTAAACTGGCTAAAATTTTGTTTTAATAGTAAATTTAACAATTTAAAAAAAAATTGGTGTTACCCTAGAAGATTTAACGCAGAAGAAATAAATAGCCACGTATGTGGGGAAATGTACTTGTAGAAATATTTTTCCTACAATTTCTAACTCCCGGCCTAAATTTCAAACTCTAAAACTGGCTAAAACTTTGTAGTAAATTTAACTATTTTTTATATTTTTTTTTTTGGTTTCAACCTAGAAGATATAACTCAGAAGAAATAAATAGCCACGTATGTAGGGCAATGTCCTAGTAGAAATGGTTTTCCTACAATTTCTAGCTCCCGGCCTAAAATTCAAACTCTAAAACTTGCTAAAACTTTGTAGTAAATGCAGTGGCGTAGCGAGGTTGGGTGTCACCTGGTGCGGCACTTAATGGTGTCACCCCCCCCCCCAGAGGCGTAGCGACTCTTCCCGGGGACAAACTTTCAGTTTTCGATTTGCACCCCCCCTCTCAAACTTTCGATTTGCACCCCCTCAAACTTTCAATTTGCACCCACCCTCCTCAAATTTTTCCCTATATATTTTACTATTTTTTGCCTTGGTGTCACCCCCTAAATGGTGTCACCCGGTGCGGTCCGCCCCCCCCCCCTCGCTACGCCTCTGAGTAAATGTAACAATTATATATATATATATTTTTTTGTGTTTCACCCTAGAAGATATAACGCAGAAGAAATAAATAGCCACGTATGTAGGGCAATGTCCTTGTACAAATGTTTTTCCTACAATTTCTAACTCCCGCCCATAAATTCAAACTCTAAAACAAACAGACGTCCATTTAATGTCAAGTTTAAAAAAATCTTTGATGTTAGTCCCTCAGGCTATCTGTTCAATTTCTCGTTGTCTCATTATTTTTCTTTAATTTAATGCAATTATTTTCTAATCACTACCCATTATTTATATCATTAATTTTTAAATGGTAATTGGGTTTAGCAAACAAAGCTGGCATTTAATTTTCTTTGTTTGGGAAAGTTCAATCTCATTTTTTATTTGTGTTTTCAAATGTTGCACCAAACACTCATGTTGGTTTGTATTTTTGAGTAACTAGTTATATTTATAAATCGTGTATTTTTCTTCTTCATGTTTGTATGTTTGTATCTCAAGCGTAATTGTAATTCGTATAGATCTATATTTATTTCAGAGGCGTGGCGAGGGGGGTGCATATGCCCCGGGCGCCGACCTTAGCAAATCGAAAGTTCGAGGGGGGGGGGAGGGTGCAAATTGAGAATTTTCTCTCGAGGGGGGCGCCAAAATTGAAAGTTTGTCCAGGGGCGCCGGGAAGGGTCGCTACGCCTCTGATTTATTTAGTGGATTTACATGTCTTGTGTGTTTATAATTCGTATTTATTTATTGCGTTTGACTTAGATTTGTATGATCTGTGTTTTTGTGTATTGTATGTGTTATACATTGTTTCATGTCTAGTTAAGTGTGAGTTACCTCAATATCTCTATAATATTCATGTCAAGCTTGTAGCTTCTCCCCCCTACAATACAGTTTTAAGACATAATTTTTCATCTTTTTTTTTAACCGCGGCTATCGACGTCACCTTGCTAACTACATCTGACGACGACATTCACCCGAAACAAAGACGGATCTACAATCTACACCCTCTCCTGGATTTCCAATCCCCCACTTCCATACACCGCTAATTTTCCTCTCATCAACTCACGCCAAGAACGATAATCGAACTCACGTCCATGTAATCGACCTTGGCGTTGTACATCACGTGCCTGGCGCCCAGCTCGTGCAGCATGTCCTTCACCTTGACAGGATCCTGGAACCGCGTGATGCACTTGTCCACGGTCCCCATGACGCGCAGCGCGTGAGACTTAAGCTGGGCGCTGTCCTTCAGACTTTCTTTAGATTGGCCACGAAATGGCATGAACACATTTTGAACTTCCGGGTGAGTTTCAAATAACCTGCAAGCATTTAAAAAACAGGAATTGGATTAGACAGGCAATGGAACAATATTCTCATCTGTCATGAGTTTTGACAGAATAACCTGCGATTTACATCGCTCAGAGAAATTTAAGACATGAATTTTTTTTTAGCTAACAATAAGGGGTTTCTTATCTTAACTCTTTGATGTAAGAGAGCGGTTCTCATTATGTTGCTGAGTGACCCCTGGGAGGCTGAATGCAGAATTAAACTCACATCTGAATACAGAGATGGCAAATATGCTATAAAGTCAAGTACCATTTCTTCTTCTTCCTCGTTCTTAATTTTAGTATTGGAATGGATTCTTTCCAATAATATTTAAGTATACTGTTTATGCACCATTGAGGCCATTGACTCCGATTTCAGCCTGCTTTTCTTTTTGGATTTGCTTCCATAGCCTTTGTCCAACCAAGAACAACCTACAAGGCAGCAGTTGTTTGATTTTGGAGTTGTCTCTCCTAGAAGGAGTTGCTGTCCCCAGCTAACGAGCCTGATCTGCCCGGGGTTCGAACTCGAGACTTTACGGGTTTAGCAAGTTTCATCAACCCAGCTGTACTCAAGTTATCGTTTTTGAAAACACACACACACACACACACACACACACACACACACACACACACACACACACACACGCACGCACGCACGCACGCACGCACGCACGCACGCACGCACGTACGCGTTTTTCCGACTCGTTTACGCATAAAACGCCAAAACTTTGATATATCTGGATATAATTTATAATTTTTGCCCGATTAAAATAACGAGCCTGATCTGCCCGGGGTTCGAACTCGAGACTTTACGGGTTTAGCAAGTTTCATCAACCCAGCTGTACTCAAGTTATCGTTTTTGAACACACACACACACACACACACACACACAAACACACACATACACACACACACACACACACACACAAACAAACAAGCAAACACACACACATACACACACACACACAGACATACGGACAGAATTGCAAAGTCCATTTTTTCCGACTCGTTTACGCATAAAACGCCAAAATTTTGATATATCTGGATATAATTTATAATTTTTGCCCGATTAAAATAAGTCCTCTATACTCCGGATGTGATAAAGGACTGGGGAAAATTTCATGTGATTTTTGTGCACGATTACAATTCTTTCTCTATACTCTGTATATGAGAAAGTAAAAATGACGATGATTGTCTTTACATTGCAAACGTCAAAACTGAGACCAAAACATTATTTGTACAAGTACATGTTTATTTTTAACTGTGTATTTTTCATTTACAAGTTTGGACGAAGTGCGAACGCCGTGTAATGCAATGTTTACAGCCCCTCATAATAAATATATTGCACTTTATATTTAAATTCCCAAGAAATATAAAAAACAATGTTTCTTAAATTAAATATCGAACTCCCGCGATTTTTAAAAAAAAAAACCGATTCCGTAATAAATATTCAACACTATAATACAATGAAACCAGCATCAAGATAAAAAAAATGTATTTTAAAACCAAAAGAATTCGATATCTGCCCAAAAAAATATTCCCTAAGTAGGCATGACGTCATTTCACATCAAGGTCAAAGATATTTTTTCCAGCCAATCCAAACTGTTTATTACAAAAACGATGCATCACCGCGCGCGCTAGGTCTAAAATATCCATCAGTATTGACAGAACCAGTCGCCATATTTCCACTTCTGGCCATTTTATCGTCTGCCAAAAGTCTGAAATCTACCGGAAATATTGCTTCTATTTATAGGCCTAAATTCCCGCCACATGTCTGACCAATCATTCTGTTGCTATAAAGTAAAATGTTTTCAAAGAAAAAGAATATATTCAACTTACATAACAGTTGCTAAAAATATTCTAAGCCGCTTACATTTTGACAAACAGAAATGGATATTTGGTGCACTAGAGGACGTCAATGAAGCCCTAAAATTATGGAGCTTCGAAGTACAGAATATAAAATCTAAACCCGCTGCGAAAATCCCAAGCTAAATATAGATCAAAGATGGCGGTGTTGTTTCGATTCGTGGTTAAATGGGTTAAAATATTTTCTACTTTTATGACACGGGTTTTTCATTTAAGGTACACACTGGGAAAAAAACCCACCACCGAACTGAACTGAAAAATGTTGATTACGACGATACGGTGTTGTGGAAGTTTGACCCTATGGAATTATACCATAACTTGAACACCCTCTTTGTAGAAAGAGTTTCTTTCAGACCTCTCTTAGGGTACTGCCACCCCTTCCCCACTCCTTCCGGAGCACGACCCAACCCCACGGACGAAATAGTAAAAATGTATAATTTATCTGAGAAATATAAAATTTAACCAGTGTCTCCTTCCCCTTCGGAAAGTTAAACGCCCCCTTCCTCCGAAAGTTTCAAGTGCCTTCCCCGTTGAAATATGCCCGAAAGAAACCCTGCTTTGTAGATCACGTTAAAGCGGACAATGGTCTGTTTTAAACAATAGTCGTCTAGAAAAAAATATCCTGGACACATCTACACATCATGATGTGATGTTACACAAAAATCCTGGACACATCTACACATCATGATGGGACAAACACAAAAATCCTGGCCACATAAACACATCATGATGGGACAAACACAAAAATCCTGACCACATCTACACATCATGATGTGACGTAACACAAAAATCCTGGCCAAATCTACACATCATGATGTGATGTTACCAAGTGTGATCAGGGATTACTTGATCTTTAGCAGGACCAACACCCCGGGGGTGGGGGAGGATCTGAGCCCACATGTGGCCATATGAATTAGTAAACATGGGGCTTGTAATTAAACGTAGGAACTTATTGCAGAGCAATGAAAAATAGGGGGCCGTGTTTGTTTCAGACTTTTTTCTACGTGTGTGTGTTTGGGGGGGGGGAGCACTGGGTAAAAGTATATATTTTCTATATAAATTATGTTTTTCTATTTCGCCCGATTAGATGCTTGACAAAAACACTGGTGGGGGGGGGGGGGGGCGGTATGGGTAATATAATCTAAAAATATTTTTCATCACTTTATAGAATAATACATTCTTTTTTTTTTCTGCCTCAGACATGTAATTTACAGTATTAGTTTGCCTTCCCATTTTCGCTTTAGTATTATACAATACATTTTGAGAATTAAAGTTACAAAGCGAGCTCCCAAAATTTTGTTTGTATATTAATTTCTTTTATTTTCATAGTGTCTGTCGTTCACATTAAAACAGTAATAGTTTATTTATTTACTTTAATTCACGGTTGTCGTTCCTTGATCTATAGACAGGGAAATAACTCTCCTGACCTAAAGAAAGGTCACCTACGTCCCAGACTTAATTGCTTGATCTGTGTGAATAGGTCATCTAACCCCAACCCCTTCCCCCACGGGCATGCTAACCTGTCTTGTGTGTATGTCCTCGCTCACCCCCCTTAGAAAATTGTCCTTGTGATGCCCACAGGTCAATCTCAGCGGTTTCTTAAAGCAGACATCCTCGCTTGACCGTCTTCCCGCGTCCTGTCATTATATTTATTCTCTTGTCTTGTAAGGGCTGGTCAGGCGGTGTTAAGCACCCTACGGTCATATTGGCTAAATATGAGATTCTTAGGAGTTTGGTTAAAGGGGCAGTTCCTTATCATTCTGGTAAAATATGAGATTCTTATGAGTTTGGTTAAAGGCAGATCCTTATCATTCTGGGAAATACGAGATTTTTATGAGTTTGGTTACAGGGAAATTCTTTATCATTTTGGCTAAATATGAGATTCTTTTGAGTTTGGTTAAAGGATATATCCTTTTCTTTCTGGCTAAATATGAGATTTTCATGAGTTTGGTTAAAAGGTAGATTCTTATCATTTAGGCTAAATATGAGATTCTTATGAGTTTGGTTAAAGTATATCCTTATCATTCTGGCCGATTATAAGATTCTTAAGATTTTGGTTAAAAGGTAGATTCTTATAATTCTGGCCAAATATGAGATTCTTGTTAAAGGATAGATTCATATAATGCTGACTAAATTTGAATTTTATTTTTTTTAACCTTATAACAACAAACAATCTACCTTCATAAAAAGGTCTTCTTCTTCTTCTTCGTTATTAACTATAAAGTTGGATACGATTTTCTCAAACACAATTATATATTACGTGTCAACATTTACTAACCGTCGACTCCGATTTCTCCGAAGAATGCCTGAAAGAAACACTTAATAAGAGCAGTTAGTCGGTTTTGGTTATAGGACTTCTGATGCGTCCAATATCTAGTTACCCAAACCCCAGTTCTAACCCTTTCATTCTAGACAAAATTAGTCTAACTTTATTAATTATTCCGTCCCTAACCCTAACTCTAATATTTTATTCCAGCCCTAATTCTATTCGTTACTAGAGCCATAACCCTAACCCTTCTAATTTTTCCAGCACTAGCCCTAATTCTATTCATTTTTCCAGTAACAATGGGATAAAAATAAGTCCCGCATTTCCAATGACATTAACAGACAAAACTAAATTACGCCCCCTATCGGCCTAGATTTCGTTTGTCTTTCACGATTATCAATTTAATATTCTCCTCCCCTGCGAGTCTATGAGCTCAAGGAAAATTACAGCCTATCTCTGTGACTGACAGGACACACAGTTGGCGGATAATGGAATTTTTTCGTAGGTCCAGAGACCTCTGACCTCCCACCTCCCACCCCCGACACGACGACCTCGCCTAACTAACAGCCACCCACGACATGAACTCCCACCACCACCAGGCACCCACAATATGACCCCTCCCTCTCCACCAAACACCCACAATCCCCTCCTCCACCAACCACCCACGATATAACCCCCCCCTCCACCAGATACCCACGACATGACCCCCCTCCACCAGATACCCACAACATGACCCCCCCCCCCTTCCACCAGATACCCACGACATGACCCCCCTCCACCAGATACCCACAACATTACCCCCCTCCACCAGATACCCACGACATGACCCCCCCCTCCACCAGATACCCACAACATGACCCCC